TAGAGCTACGAGCAATGGCACGTTGTTTGGCTGCTCTCCAAGAAATGGGATTACCACCAAGAAAAACAATATATCTAGTTGTGGAAATGCAAGCGTCACAATCCCTTGCTTAGTCTGCATTAGAAAAGGTGTGAAGTGAAAGGGACTTTTGTGGTCGGAGATAGATCCCATGAGAGGTAGTGCCACAAAGATAGCGTAAAACTCGATTAAGTGCCTGCTAGTGAACATCAGTGGGTTTGTGCATGAAATGTGAGAGACGACTAACAGTAAAAGAAATGTCAAGTCGCGTGAGAGCCAGATACTGAAGAGAACTGACAAGCTTTCTATATTTGGAACCATCAGTGAGATGAACACTGGTGGTGAGAAGTAAATTTGAAGTGGAAGCTAGCGGAGTAGCCACCGGTTTGGCCTCAACATGCCCAACTTCTATAATTAGTCCTAGATATATTGATGTTGTGAAAGAAAGAAACCGCCATTAACAAACACAACCTCAATGCCAAGAAAATAACTTAGGTCGCAAGGCTCTTTGAGGGAGAAGTGATGTCCCATAGTACAGATTAGAGAGGTAATAAAGGAAAGGCTGCTACTAGTGACAATGACATCATCCATGTAAACTAGAAAGTAGATCACAATAGACCCCCTATTATATATAAACAAGGAAGAACCAAATTTTGGAGTTAAAGAACCCTTAAGAAATAAGAAATTCCTTGAGTGCTCGAAACCAAGCTCCTGGGGCTTGTTTTAAGCCATAAATCGATTTGTGAAGTTGACAAACATGCGAGGGATGATTTTGATCAACAAAGTCGGCAGGTTGTTGCATAAATAACACTTCATTAAGTTCGCCATGTAAAAAGGTGCTATTCACATCCAATTGCTTAATAGGCCACTGGCAACTAACTGCAAGAGAAAGAACAGTTCGGATTGTAGTTGGTTTAATAACAAGACTAAAGGTATTGAAATAATAAGAACTTGGCCTTTGATGAAAGCCCTTGGCAACTAAGCATCCTTTGTAGTGTTCAATTGAGCCATCTTTGCCCCTTTTTATCCGAAATATCCACTTGCAACCAAGAACATGTTGATTTGGGTGAGAGGGTACCAACTCCCACGTCTTTTGGCAAATCAAGGCATTGAACTCCTCATGGCTCATCTCAAATGGAGATCTTTAAGTGCTTGAGACACACATGTGGGTTCAAGGGAAGGGAGGGTGGAGACCACGGTTGCATGATATAAGTAAGGACTTGGGTTTAAAGATGTTGTTTTGAGAACGAGTGACTGTGGGATGAGTGCGCCTAGGTGGTGGAGGCAATGGTGGTGGGACGGCATGAAGAGTGGCTTGGTTGGAGGATACGGGAGTAGAGGAAACCATGTTAACTGGGGTTGAGGTAACGATAGGGGTTGAGGTGGGCCAAGGACTTTGAGAAAGAGAATGAGGTGTAGAGGGAAGAGCTGACGGAGAGGCAAGTGAGGGAGGAATGGCCTGTTTGGTGGACACTTGGACTACATCAAGATGAGGAACCATAGCACAAGGAGGCAACATTAAGCACTTAGCAACCGAGCGATGGCAAATGGTGTCAAGTGGAACTAGTTGTGCAGTAGAGTCATGAGGAAAAGAGGAATTAGAGAAACTATTTGTGGTAGAACTTGGGAGAGAATGTTGTAGAGTAGGAGTGTTATACAGAAATTGGTTTTCATTGAAAACAACGTGCCGCAAATAATAAATCTGTACAGAGTAAATGTCAAAACATTCGTATCCCAAATTATGCGATGAATAACGCAAAAAAATAAGGACAAGAATGATATGGTAATTTATTATTATTATAAGGGCGAAATCATGGAAAACAAGAACAACAAAAACTGCACAGCTTTAAGTAATTTGGTCTGACTTTAAATAATTTTTTTAAGGAAGATATAGAGGACAAAGTCACTGTTGACAACCTATTAATTAGGTGGGCAGTAGTTAGGCCTACATTACTAAATCGAAGCGTAGGAATCATGTATTTTTTTTAATGCAAGACAAATATTATTGATTATCGAACAAGAAGATTATAGTTGCAAAGTACAGAAAGCAGAGGTTTATATGACTGTTATTGATCCCACCAAATACTCATTATAATTTTATCGTTTAGGGAAATCTAAAAATTTGACTTTATTATATGCACTTATTAAAAAATTATATATAAATATTATATATTATAATTATGTAAAATTTTATTTATTTATTTTTTATACTAACTCGTCGACATCTAGAAGTTACATTGAACTTTAATTAATTCAAAGTCAAACTAATCAATTTTATAAGGGAAAAACTCTCTCAGTACTTATTTCTTCGTTTATAAGACTTAAACCCAATACATTATTTAAGAAGAACTAAATTTCTTTCATTTAAATTAACAGGTCGTTGGTTTATTTCTTAATTTTTAATAGTTAATATTTATTCATATTTATTAAATGTAATTATTATTTTTATATAAAAAATCGTAATAAATCTCAACTATTAAAAATAAAAAGATAAATAATCAAAATTTTATATAAATATATTGTGTAAAATTTGTGTGTCAATGAATCACTGTTCTTATTATTATGAATTTGTTTATTATATCTTTTAAAGACACGTATTAAAAATGTATTAATTGCTT